CTTAGGGTGAAATCACACGGTGCGGAAAAAGACTGCGGAATAGAGAATGCGTCATTGAAGCAACCAATCAGCGCTATTCCGATTAGCGCTGAATAGCGTTGATTGGTTGCTTCAATGACGCATTCTCTATTCCGCAGTCTTTTTCCACACCGTGTGATTTCACCCTTAGGCCCGGTCTCACCAACTTCGATTAAACCATGAAGTAAGAGTAAGGAGACTTAACTAGATAGGACCATGGAGGACTGGAGAGAGTATTGTGGTGGTGGGGATGTAATCAAAATAGGTTGTCCAAGATGGCCGTTGCCGGAAATAAAACTGAAGGAGGCAAATTCAAATCAAATTTCAATCGATCATTGTATCATAATAATTTTCTTTTAGAGCATACATAAAACATACTCAGAATTATGAAAAAAATTCAAATTAATGCATATATATATATATATAAACTAATGTTATTAAAAACAGAATACTTTAGAAAAGTCTTTAAAATTTCAATATATATATTATTCCTTTTTGTACAAATCATGTAAAAATATAATGTTTGTATTTACATGTAATCATGTATGTATGCATGTATGCATTTTATATTTGTTTAATTATATATCTAATTTTTTTGTATATATTAATTTCGTAATTTTCATTTTTCGGTGACTTTTGGATTTGCCCTTTACATTATCCTTTTTATTGTCTTCATGAAAGTCATGAAAAGTACAATTTATCATTTATTAGCGCTTATTAGTGTAATCGCTATTACTTACGAATGGAAAGTAAATCCACAATTTTTGGATTTTGTTATGGAGCACGCCGCACAACTAACCATGATTTCAATAGCCAACTAATTTTGCTTTGTGAGCATCATGTGAGCATATTACGGCATGGAGATGTGACGGCTTAAGATAAATCAAGATGGTAATTAAAAAGGATTTAGTGTATATCGACTACAGCGCTCCTTATGGTAAAAAGCGCGTTAAAGGTTGTTTCCCATGATGCACTTCCGATTACAAAATTCGTACCCCCACCACCGCAATGCTCTCTCCAGTCCTCCATGGATAGGACATGGAGAAAAAAGTTGATCACGAAAAATGTTCCGTGTACTGCCATGTCCGCCGAACGGAATAACTTGCAACATTCCATATTGAATATTTATATGTGTGCAGTATACTTGCGACTGTGTTAGGCTGAAATCAGACTACGCATCGAAGATTGAAATTTGACCAGTGAGGACAAAGGATTTTAGCTCCTATTGTTTTGATTGGTCAAATTTCAATCTTTCAATCTTCAATCTCAATATTCAATGCGTAGCTGATTCCGGCCTTATACATATGTGTATTAAACACGTGTCTCCTAAAAAGTAAGTAGCTTGCCCTCCTAAAATCTTAATAAAAATATACTCATTCGTCGCGTTTTCACTCAAAACGAAAGAATCTGTAAGAAAAATGCGGCGGTCGGCCTTGTGAACCGAGTTATTAAGTTAAAGTTAAAGTTCGAGACTAGGTTAGGATATTTGTCATCCCTCGATATAGCGTTATGTATATGTATTTTGGTTCTACAAGCTTTTTTCTCTAAAATAGAAAAATTATATATAGATAAATATTAAATGTTAAAAATCTATCTATTCTGATGATATATATATAGGGTGTCTAAAAAAAACGGATCGAAACACAATGGGGACGTAGATTGGATCAAGGGGAACAAAATAGTTTTGTACCATTTTGCAGTTGACGCTAGCAGTACATGAGCAGTAGGCTGGTCGGACGCTTGTATTCGCCTATCTTTAAACGTTAAATATTGCGTCAACTGCAAAATGGTACAAAATTATTTTGTTCCCCTTGATCCAATCTACGTCCCCATTGTGTTTCAATCCGTTTTTTTTAGACACCCTGTATATATAAAAAAGTGTGTGTGTGTGTGTGTGTGTGTGTGTGTGTGTGTGTGTGTGTGTGTATATTAATAATCAGAATAGATATATTTAAAATACATTCAAACATTAATATAATCTTATTTTATTATAAATATTATAATATTATAGGTGAAAAATTATCAAATAACAATATGTCTTGTTGCGTGGAGGGATGTAATTTCTAGAGTCCTAGATTTATTAGAGAGGCGCAACCGGTGTTACGCATTCTGATTCGCTGTTGCAATCACATGACTTGGCAACCATATATAGTATAGTACTAGTGACATATTTCTATTTCATTTTATCCTATACATTCTATTTCACTCTATCTCATTCTTGCTCTTGAACGGTATCCATGCTGACTAAATTGTGATTACTGATATTATACAGAAAGCCTGATTACTTATTCGTTAACAGTAGATATATATGCTTCACAATTAT